ATACAGGAAGTGCTGTGTGTCCTTACAGGAAGTGCTGTGTGTCCTTACAGGAAGTGCTGTGTCATTACAGGAAGTGCTGTGTGTCATTACAGGAAGTGCTGAGTGTCCTTACAGGAAGTGCTGAGTGTTATTACAGGAAGTGCTGAGTGTCCTTACMGGAAGTACTGTGTGTCCTTACAGGAAGTGTACGTGGGACCGGAGACCATCTGCACAGTAGATGGACTCCACTTCAACAGCACTTATAAGTCCAGAGTGAAAGCCTTTAATGCCAGTGGAGTGGGCCAGTACAGCAAGACCCTGATCATGCAGACCTCTGAGGGTACGTTAAGCTTCATCTCCTCTTCTCTCTCAGCTTGTCTTTAAGTAAAATAAATATTGTTACAGTTGTTAAGTTATTAAATGTTTAACTTAAGATGTACAGTTTCAGTTAGATGTTTCTAACCACTCATCCTGGATATAAACGTCTTTTTGATTCAGATCTTTTATAAGTTTATATGAGCTGAATTTTGTTTTGGATTGATCCACATTGAGTCTAATTATCCCTGAATGCACAAACAAATCCATACATTACAACATTACATACATACATTACATACAACAATCCATACATCCTAAGTTGTTTAACACATCTACATGTAAATACAGGAAATAAAAGCTGACATTCAGAACTTTTGTTTCATGCTCATCTTTTGATCTTAAACCAAATGTCTTCAGTGTACAACAAAAACAAGATAATTTGATTTGCTGTTCTAATACTTTTGGAGGGGAATGTAGCTTGACTTGTCTGGAACCACAGCTGACTGAGAGATCCAAAAGCACGGTTGGAACTCAAAATGGAGTACACTTTTGGCCAACACTGAATTAATGACAACCACTTATAGGCACACCCATGGATGATGAACTCAAAAGATGCTGTGACACAAGGCAGTCAAATAGACCTTATAAAAGCTCCCCATTGTGCTAATAATCTGTGGTACACAATGTTGACAGGATGCTGGAAACGACATGAGCCAAAGTTGATATGCATAAATGGGCTTGGACCCCGGTCATAACTGCTTTGCACTTCTAGTTTATTTATTTATTTTTTTTTTATTTAGGGTTTTTTTTAAATACGTGTGCTTTGAAAATGTAGCATGAAGCATGAAGTCTTTCAACTGCATAGTTAAAAACTGCCACTGGCTCTAGTGCTACACACAAAAATAATAAATATTAAAATATAATATGAAACACACCATTACATAAAAACAAACAGTAAAACAAATACAATATAAGCTGACATAAAATAAAAACAATAAATAATGTGAAAGAGCCACACGTCATGCTTCATTAATAACCATGAAGTCCAAATGTGTTAGGATGACATCGACAATCACCATCAGCTTGTCGCACAGTTATGCTTTCACAGGGGTGTCAGTTACACTTATACAGTATGTATAATTTGATCCTGAATGGAACAAAGAAAATACATTAAATTTTACCTTAAAACAAAAACAATTAATTTGATTGGTTTTATAATAATTTTACCCTGGGAATAAAAATACGTTCATGATGAGTGGATGAAACCTCTGTAAAGGAATTGAATGATTAATTGCAGTTCATTTAGTTTTCTTTTTAAATCATAATAAATTGAATATTTATTTTATTTTACAATCTCAATGAATTTCCCGTACAAATGGACCAAGTGTTTCAGTTAAATTAAGTATTTGCATAAGTAAAAAACTGCAATTAATTTCAATAATTCTGGGTGAATCGATCCATGAGTAGAGTTTAATCATTTGATTCTAAGTTTGAATTTGTTTTAACAAAGTCTGAATTCAGAAGGGGCCAAGTTTCAAGAAAACAGAGTCAGGAGTGGGTTTTTTTTTACAGACTGGACTCAGCTGGACTCGGTAACACTTCTTTTCAAAGTAGAGTCGTAATAAATTTATGAGCTTTAGTCTGCACACGTTCCCACAATACAAAACCATTGGTACAAAAGATTCACTTCAAAACAAAATGCAAATGTTTTTGTACCATTAAATGTTATATCAGTGAAATTGTCGGGGTCTAGAATTAATTTAATTAAAATCCATCCAGGGGTAGCACACTGAGGTAAAAACATTATAATTTATCTTAGCACTTACAGCCAAAAAACTTGTCTTCCTTCATTTTACTGTGAATAAATTCTTAATTTACTCAAAAAAAAAAAACTAAATATTTTTGCTGATGGTCTAAAGCAGGGGTCTGCAACCTTTACCACAAGAGCCAATTGTGCTTCTTGTCTCACTGATAAAATGTGTCCAGAGCCACAAAACAAGCTACAACTGTGATTATAAACTGGTGGTCCATGGGCCTTTTCAAGGCCTTTCCAGGTACCTTTACGGTCAGTGGAGGGGACGTTATAAAACAAAAAAAATATTATTTTTATTATATTATTTATTATTATACATATCAGGACAAATTAAAACACCATATTCATGTAAACAAGAAAAATACCGTATGTAGTTTATACCGAATTTCATTAACATTTAAGTAAACAACAGGCTAGCTGTTAGTTATACAAAAAACAACAGGCTAGCATGAGCTAACATGTTTTACTTTTTGTATTAGTAGTATTGATCACATATTTGCATACAAATTGAATTCTGTTGTGAGTATAAAAAACAACAACAAAAAAAAAGTATGCTGTTATGTTTGGTCACATTTTCAAAGAGCCACTGCAGAGGGACCAAAGATCCACATGTGGCCCCAGAGCCGCAGTTGCAGACCCCTGGTCTAAAGCCTTTAAACCTGGATTAAAAGGTTTTTTACTCAGTAAGATTTCAAATAAATGAATGCAACAAGAACCCTGACTTCTGTTTATGAGGCTGAAAAAAAGTTTGTGTAATTGAAACAATTTGCAAAACTGTAGCTTAAAGATAAAATCACCAAAACAATAGCTAAAATAAAAAACTGTTCTTAAAGACTACAATCAGAAAAGTGCTAACTCAGCATTCACGTAGTTGTTTTTCTTGTTTCATGCTACAGAAAAAACAGAGTGATTTATATGATTTAGTTCAGATTTTAGTCTTTAATCCTTGGAGTCCAGCAGCAGTAGGTCTTTGTTCAGAACTCCCTCCTGTTAGATAAATTCTGTTCTGCAGAGTGAAATCTGTCCATCTGAGGACTAATCTCAGCTGCTCCTCTTCCAGTTTTATGCAGCCTTCACTCTGAGCATGCTGGACTTTGTTTTTGTCGTTTTATTTCCTCTGTGTAACGAGAGAAGAGCACACCTTTCTTGGACTGACCAAGCTTTGTTTCTGTTGTTTATTCCAAGTTGTTTCAGCTGATCTTTAGTTGTATTTGGGCCTGTGACGTAAATCAGATCTGCTCTTTGCCATCCACCGTCTGCATCGCTTTGCTTTCTTCTCTTCCTCTGCTCTCCCTCTCCTTGTCCCTCTCTTCTTCTCTCCCCCTTCATGTCACATTTCAGCTGGAGTCCCTCCATGTGACATTCAGTCTATAGGCTCAGGTAATCTCCAGGCTTGTTTCATCACTCAGACCAGCAGGGGGGCAGTTTGCTGCTCGGTGGGCTCCACATCGCTAACATTTTATACTCGCCTCGATTAACTCTCTTTGCTTTATTTCTGCTGGGAAATCAAAGCAGGTAATAAAACTTGTGCTGCATGTGGAAGAGTAGTAACCACTGTAGAGGAGCAGATCCAGTGGAGCCCAGAAAAACAACAAAGGCCCACCTGTGTCTCACCCATACCTGTCTGTGAGAAGATAAGCTGTAGATATGTTAAACACTAAGAGTTTTACTTCTAAAACTGAGTCAAACACATTTGCAAATTTAGCATTTGAGCATTTTTCTGACACTACCAGTACCAAGCTCACAGTTCCTGTCATTTCAGTCTGCTGATTAGTTGTAACATTAAACTTTATTTAATAAACATATATTTTAACTGTAAAATAATGACTGTAAAAATACTGTAGGCTGTTTAGTTTTGTAAATTTTTAAAAATATATTTTAACAAGGAAGGAGCCATTTTATTTCCACACAAAGCATTCTGGGTAAATGATGACGTGGATAGGTCCTCGGTGCGAGGCTGCTAGCGAGCTATATCCACCCTGAAGGTTAATCTTGGACAATATCTGATGATCGACTCTTTTAAATGAAACCAGAGAGCGTTGACAGAGAGGAGAAGGTAGAAATGACTCAGCCAGTAACTGAAAATATGGATGGAGGACAACAGAGCTGCTTCATGGAAGAACAACCTCAGCTTAGCCTGTTAGCTTTAGCGTTAGCCCCGATGCTATCACCATATATATGTATTAGCTCAGCACTACACATTCTCCTCTCATCACTGAGGTCCTCCATCCACATGACAGAGAGGGGAACACAAAAATGACTCAGCCTGCAACTGAAAATATGGATGAAGGACCTCAGTTTAGCTTGTTTGTTTGTTGCGCTAGCGCTGAGCTAATACATATAAGGCAATATAGCATCGGTGCTAGCATGAAGGCTAACAGGATAAACTGAGGTTCTTCTTCCATGAAGCAGCTCTGTTGTCCTCCATCCATATTTTCAGTTCCAGGCTGAGTCATTTCTACCTTCTCCTCTCTGTCAACGCTCTCTGGTTTCATTTAAAAGAGTCGATCATCAGATATTGTCCAAGATTAACCTTCAGGGTGGATATAGCTCGCTAGCAGCCTCGCACCGAGGACCTATCCACGTCATCATTTACCCAGAATGCTTTGTGTGTAAATAAAATGGCTCCTTCCTTGTTAAAATATATTTTTAAAAATTTACAAAACTAAACAGTCTTTATTTTACAGTTAAAATAAATTTTATCAAATAAAGTCTAATGTTACAACTAATCAGGGATCCCTTTAAACTTCCCTTTTGGCTTGTAGATGAGATTTTTTATAAACATCTAAATGTGATTATTGAGCTTGTTGTGTTTGCATAATTCCAATAGCATTTTCATGTAGCAACCTCAGATTTGACCAAAATGAACTGTGACCCGTGCATTTGTGATCATTTCTAACTTCAAAAATTGTTTATTGTGTACAACAGTGATCAAGTTAAGCAAAATGTATTGAAACATTTTTGCAGCAAAACAAAAACTCAGAACGTGCAAACTGAAAATTAGCCACAAGTAAAGGCCTTGCACTCTTTTAGTATTTTTGTATTTATTTTTTGTATTTATTTATTTAAAAGGGGACAGTGCAATTTAATAAAACTTGACAATTCATAAGCTAAAAAAGCCAGAATTAGCCAAATGGCTATTTTTCATCTGTAGTCCCCTGGCCATGATGTTAAAAAGCAGTATGATACAAGAATAAAATACAGTAATAACACACAATAAATAAAAGCAGGAAATTAATCATAAAAAAGTAAATTCATATTGCCCACCACCTTCATGTCAGAGTTTTAAACTGAGATCATATTGTGAGGAAAAAAGGTTTTGGTTAAACCTCAGAAATACTGTCATTCATGATATCTTGACTCATTTATGACAACATCAGATATTTGCTCAAACACYTGACTGAGTTAGCACCATGTTCCTAGTTGCTACGGTTCATTTGCTGTGGCGGCCATCTTGAATGGGGTTTACTCTACCAGTTAACCAGTTGTAAAGTTACAACCAGTGATTCATTTTTGTGGGTTTCAATAAATACGTTCAATAGTTCATGGGATATTTTGCTAACAGACMAACAACTTTAATAATGAAAATAGCTTAAAATGCATCTCAAATAGATCTTTGTCTACTTCTATTAAACAGTTTACTCACCTGATTGTCACAGATGTGGTGTTCTGTTTAAGCCTGTTGAAATTTGCAGACTGTCTGACTCAGTTTTCCTATCTAACATATATTAGGTGTAGTACTAATAAGTGATGTTATTTACTTTAAGTTATAAAGTATAAGAATGAATACCTATAATGTATTAGTGATGATGACTTTCATGTGGTTTGTTATCATGCCCTCCATCCAGATGTTTTACAGTAACTTCCCCTCATCCAGAATCATGTCACCTGTGAACAGGCCCCGCCCACCTTCAGTGACATCATTAACACCCAGCTCTTCTCCCTCTGCGCCGCACAGTGGCCTGGTTCACCTTCGACCCAGTGTCCGCTCACCCCGACATCGTCTTCTCCAACGACAACCTGACGGTGTCGTGCAGCAGCTACGACGACCGGGTGGTGATGGGAAACACCGCCTTTTCCCGCGGCGTCCATTACTGGGAGATGACAGTAGATCGCTACGACAACCACCCCGACCCGGCCTTCGGCGTCGCACGTGTCGACGTCCTGAAGGATGTGATGCTGGGGAAGGACGACAAGGCCTGGGCCATGTACGTGGACAATAACCGCTCCTGGTTCATGCACAACAACTCACACACCAACAGGTAGGAGAGTCAACGTGGTGACTGTTGGAGGGGCTTATTCTTTATTTTTAGTCACAAATAAGCAACCCATTCTCACTCCCAACTCGTCAACATATTGACGCTTGGTCAGGTAATCGTCTGCGTCCAGCTTTGGATGCGTCGGGTACTCCCCGCGTGTCACTTCTTTACGAGATGAGGCGGAGGAGGACGAGCGCATTATATATTTTATAAGAGTAGGAAATGCACAAAACTAACCATCCCTGACCCTAAATTTAACCTCTATTAGCCCTATACAGCCTATCCCTGACCAAAGTACCTAAAATTAACCATTAACCCTGATCCCTCATATTAACCTCAGACCCCCAACCCAAAGACCCCTAAGTGACGCAACCCAGAAAAGCCGCGGGCGGCAAGGATGGACGCGCATGGGGTACCCGACGTGTCAAAACTGGACGCAGAGGGTCCCTGACCAAGCGTCAATATGTTGACGAGTCGGGAGTGAGAATGGGTTAAAAATAAGAGAGTAAAACCTCAGTTTAGAAAAACAAGTCAGAAAAGAAGAAGCATAGACACTTCATTTTGTCAGATCTTTTTTTATTGTTTAAGTTGGGCAATAATGTTTTAGCTAGTGTGCTTGTCTTTTGGTTTGTCTGTCCATCCATCTATCCATTCTTTTTCTTCCACTTGTTCTGGAATTGATCAGGGAGGTCCAGACATCTCTGTCTACAGCCACCACTTCCAGCTCTTCTTGGAAAAATCCGTGTTCCCAGACCAGCTGAGAGACATGGTTTCTTCAACATGTCCTAGATCTTTTCCAGCATCTCCTCCATGCCTGGAGCACCTCCATGGGGTGGTGTCATGGGGTCATCATTAACAGATGAACCACCTCAACTGGTTCCTCTGGATGTGGAAGAGCAGCAGCTCTTCTCCGAGCCTCTCCTGGGGATCTGAGCTCATATGTACCTTTTGTATCCATGATCTTGTTATTTAAGTCCCCACCCAGAGTTCATGGCCATACATACAGTATGTGAGGGTAGGAACAGCCGGTTCGGATGTTATCAGTCCATTAAATGGATGTTATTAGTGATTATCAATCCTATTGAATGGCTTCAGACTATCCCGACAGTGCCCCCTAGTGGGTTACCAGTGCCATATACGTTGGAATGCAACAATCTGCTACTGCCGGAGTCCGGTCTACTTTATCGTAGCCCATGTCATTTTCTCTAAAACTAACCTTAGTGGCTTTATGCCTCATACTAACCAGCTGACAGTCTTAAGTCATTCTATGGGACTGATAATGGCTAATAACGTCAATTTAATGGATGATAACATCCGAAGCAGGTGGTAGGAACGTAAACAGAGATCTTCACCTTACATCTCAGCTCCCTATTCACCACAACAGACTGACGCAGACTCCAGGGAACAATGGACCCTGCACCGTTCACCTGCCATTCTCATACTTCATTCTTCGCTCACTCGTGAACAAAAACTCGAGATACTTGAACTCCTCCACTTGAGACAGAACATCATTTTCATCCGGAGGAAGCAATCGTCCCTTCTCTAGCTGAGGACCATGGACTCAGATTTGGAGGTGCTGATCCTCATCCCAGCCGCTTCACACTGGGCTGTGAACTGCTCCATTTAGAGCTGATGGTCACGGCATGATGACCCCTACAGGGAATCCTGAACAGGGGATCCTGAAGCCACTGAACCAGACTCCGGCTGAGCCCTGGTTGCACTGAGAAACTGTCCATAAAAGTTATGAACAGAATTGGTGACAACAGGCAGACCTGGCCGAGTCCAACTCCCACCATGAAGGGATCTGACCTACTGCCGGCAATGGGAACCAAACTTTTGCACTGCTTTTATAAGGACTAAATGGCCCATAACAATGGACCCATAATCCCTCACTTGTGGACTCAAATTTGGTGTGGCAGTAGCTGAAACTTGTTCTCATCACATATAGCTACACATATATTTAGAGATAACAGACTGCAGAAAATCTCACAGTGATTTTTCTGACACCACCAGAACCAAACTCACCCAGTTCCTGTCATTTCAGTCTGCTGATAGACCATTTTGTAGTTAGAAATGATCATAAATGTGCATGCGTGAAGTGGGCCAACCTCGCAATTATCGAGGAAAAGCTGAGGCTACATTTTTGTCTAAGGTCTTGGAGAAAATTKTTTCAGTACAACTAACATCATACTTGGATGTAAATAATCTTTTCTACCACTTTCAATATAGCTTTCACAAATCTCACTCTACAGAGACTGCCCTTCTTCATGTATCAAATGATCTGCTAATGTCTGCTGATAGAGGCATGTACTCTGTCCTCTTACTGGACCTTTCTTCAGCCTTTGACACTGTCGATCACTCTATTCTCCTTCGTAATCTGAAAGACATAGGGATATCCGGGGTGGTGTTAGACTTGGTTCAAATCATACCTCTCAGACCGCTCTTTCTCAGTCTTATTAGGCCAATCATTCTCTGACTCAGCCAAACTCACCTGCGGAGTTCCACAGGGTTCCATCCTGGGCCCAATTCTATTCCTGCTCTACATCCGCCCCCTGACTGAGGTCATCAAAAAATTTCCCAGACATCTCCTACCACTTCTATGCAGATGACCTGCAGTTATACTGCTCCTTTAATGACTCCACCACCCACAAGCTCACCTCTCTTCTAAAATGTGTCACTAAAGTTGACCAGTGGCTGTCTGACAACTTGTTACTTTTAAACCTCAGTAAGACAGAGACACTGATCCTGGCCCCTGAAAATAAAATCCCTAAGATAAAAGAACATCTCGGCTCTTTGAGTTCAACTGTTCAGCAGAATGTGAACAACCTGGAAGTAAATCTTGACTCAGATCTGTCTCTAGATAAACACATAAAGAACCTGGTTTCTACATGATACTTTCAGCTTCAGAACATCTCTAAACTCCGGCCCCTGCTGTCCACTTCAGACTTGGAAATGGTAATTTATGCCTTCATTTCTACCTGCTTAGATTATTGTAACAGCTTGTTCACCTGTCTAAACCAGAAACAGTTAAATCGTCTTCAGCTTGTCCAAAACTCAGCATCAAGACTCCTAACCTGAACCTCCAAATTCACCCACATCTCCCCGATCCTAGCAGAACTTCACTGGCTTCTGGTTCATTTCAGAATCCGGTTCAAAATCCTGGTCCTCACCTTCAGAGCTCTTCATGGCCAAGCACCTGATTACATTAAAAGTCTCATTTCMCCTTACAACCCCAGACGAGACCTTCACTCACAGGATCAACATCTCCTCATGGTTCCCCTCACTCGCTTAAAGACCYGTGGTGACCGGTCCTTCTCCTCTGTGGCCCCCAGGCTCCGGAATGAACTCCCTGTTAATCTGCGCTCCAGTGATAACATTGTCTCCTTCAAGTCACTCCTAAAAACCCACTTTTTCACTCAAGTGTTTAGCTAACCATTAATCACCATTAATGCCAACCTACCTCCATAGTGAACGCTYRCCAACTGTGTTTTTCTATTRTTGAACATCAGGCATATTTTTCTCTCCCCCATTCTCCATGTTTTGTGTATTATTTRTATATTTCGCTCTGCATTGACCGTGTGTCAGAGTTACAATTTTAGAATTTAATCTTGATTTGATGTTTCATTACGTTGCTTATGTTTTATTATGTTTTATTCTGTTTCATTTTATCTTTCCACCATTTTACATTGTTAATGATTGTACAACAACTTGTGAATATATTTCTGTGAAATGTGCTTTATAAATAAAACTTTACTTGCTTACTTAGGCTACTTACTATCTAGCATGAAGTCACACATAATATTGATTTATAAATCCATGATTTTAGTTGAAAAGTCTGACATGTCGGGTATAGCGGGCAACATGCATTCCTTTAAGAAATGCTTGGCCTTTTCATTTTTATTGTGTTACTGTGCAGGTCTGAYGGTGGCATCACTAAAGGATCTACAATAGGGGTGTTGCTGGACTTCACACGAGGTCTCCTCATCTTCCTCATCAATGATGAGCAGCAGGGTCCGGTTGCCTTTGAAGGCCTGGAAGGCACATATTACCCCGCAATCAGCCTCAACCGAAATGTTCAGGTACAGAAATTACATTGCTGATGCTCAGAACATAGCCTGCTTTATTCCTCCTGTGTCTCTCTGCTGAGGAAAGTGCTTCAGTCGTTAAGGAAGTAGTTCCACAGCACCACCTGCTGGTGAAAGGACACAATTGTCCTCATCATCTTTGGTTGACTTCTTTTTTTGGTTAATGTTTTTCTTCAGGTCACACTTCACACTGGTCTACCCATTCCGGATTTTTACACCCCGGGGGAGGCAGATCCGACCAGTTCCGTGTGCTAAAGACTCTCCTCTGCGTTTTTGAGGAAAACCTCTCCAGGATCTCCCACCCTCCTGCCCCTCAGAACCAGTGAGCCCACCACATTCTCTGGACAGCCAACCGTTCAGTCCTGAGCCATATTTCTTTCATGCATAAACTTTGGACATTTGACCACGAGCAGGACAATGTCCACACAGATGGTGCTTTGCCACCTTTAAAATGTATTTTCATGTCAAGCTGATGGATTTCAAATGCTACTGTATCAAATCTATGAGAGACATAGGAAACTAAAGAAATATTTTGAGATTTTAAAAAATATGTTCATCTGCATTTGAGTCCAGCATTGCAGAAAACAAGAATGGAACGCCATTGTCTTTATTCAAGTTACAGTCATTTATTAGTTTTGTAGGCAGAATGTAGTGAAGTTCTGCAGATTCATCAGGAGACTATGAATGTAAAGTTTGCCCAAAATGTCAGATTCTGTCTAAAAAAAATTTTTTGTAAAGAGGTTTGTTAGAAACACTTTCTGACAGTGTCCTGTRTATTTTATCCTTCATGCTTATTCCTCCTTTTTGCCAGAGTCTGACCACGACCCATTCAAACCCCTGAGCGGAGAATGAATCAACTTTTGTGACAGTATGTGTGAAAGTGTGTGGGATGAGTTGAGACTGCTCACCATCTACAGAACCAGAGCTACAGTCTGACTCTCAGCTATGTTATTGCTATCTCTTTGTGCATTCAGAAAGCTTTTTTTAGTAGCTTAGCTCAAGTGAAACTTCTACTGTTTTTTTAAAAGGACAGCACTGAGGTCTACATTACTGCTGGAGGTCATTGGATTATYCAGCCTTTATTTGCTGTGCAGCTCTTATAACTGGAGCTTGGGAGGTATTGTGGTTGTATGTTTATGTAGAAGTCAGATAAAAGTGGGTTAAAGACTGTAAAGATGTTTTTTTAAAGGTGCTAAAGCAGCTTGCGTAGTTTTGGCTTTTTATTTTGTTGTTTGAATACTAGTAGTTTTGTAATATTATTAAAATATTCTATTACGAAGAGGTGTATTGTTAAATAAGTTATTGATGTTAAAGAGTTTTTCAGTGAGGATTTATCATTTTACTAGTGTATAGCTATAACAGACGATTAAAAAAAATTCTGTTTTATAGACTCTGGAGATTATTGTTGACCTGAAGAGGCTTTTTAGTTCTGTTTTCTACAAAAGTAACAGGAGAGAATGAGACAGCTGAATGTTTGGTTGGCATCATAGTTTTTGATCAAAGGTCTTCTCAGCTGGCAACGGCTAAGTGATACAAAACTGGTCACGCTACCATAAAAACAGAATAAAAACAATGCTTCCATGATTACAACTAACTTGTTGAGATAAACAGTTACACTGAAAAAACTGTCCATCTTACCAAGTTTTAAAGTCTTATATCAGCCAAAAATTCTTTTTGATCTTGTTTTGAGACTGATTTACTAAACAAGAATTGATTGTGTAAGAATAACCATCTTGTTTTCAGAATGTGTAAGATTATTTGTCTTGTTAGTCTGAAAATTTGACTAAAATTACCGAATTTATTCAAGTATAAAACGTAAAATTTAATCCATAAAATCATGCACAAAGTTGGGGGGTAGTATTATACTCGGATAAATATTTTTGCTGATGTATTTTAACTGAAATATCGGCCTCATTCACAAAATCCTTGAGTCCGGAAATGAAACCCCATCGTAAAAAGCAGTTGAAACRATTTTACCTCTAAAACTCCTTCGTGCCTCTGAGCGAGATAGTAACAGATCCAAGCAGGTGACTTGATGTTAAAACAAAGAAAAAAAGGCAGTCCTGCATAATGAACTAATGATATTAATGTGTGACCGGGCCGCTCCTGGAACAACAACAACCACATGGTCAGCTGTAAGGGCTGCCGTCTACCTGTGTTCTGTAAAAGTTGGTCTACCTGAAAAAAGTTTCCCCACCAGAGGGGGGCGCTCGTGAGACACAGAGGATGAGATTGTTGAGTGGGATTCTGATGCCTTTATTACAGAGGAGGAATACCAGAAACTTTTAATGATACAGATGATGGTGAGCCTGATTCTGAAGGCTTTTGATTCAGCTTCATCCACACTTGTTAGAGCCACATAGCTCTATCTGTTTGTTATATCACACCAGTTAACAAATGAGCATTGATAGCTTTTGTTGTAGTTATACAGTACATTTGTTGTTGTGTACCGTGAAATAAGAAAAAATTGAATCAAATCAAGTATTTCAAGAAGTCTTACCAAGTAAAATGTTCTTACTCCACTGGCAGATATTTTGACTTAATTTGAGTTAAATTTTCAGACAAAGACAAATAATCTTACACATCCTGAAAACAAGATTATTATTCTTACACAATCAGTTCTTATTTAGTAAATCAGTCTCAAAACAAGATCAAAAAGATTTTTTGGCTGATATAAGATTTTAAAACTTGGTTAGGTGGACATTTTTTGCAGTGTAATATTTGTTAATTACCACAATTCTCTTTACACCAGAAGTCTTCAGCCCAGTTCCTCCTGACCCACTATCCTGCATGTTTCAGATGTTTCCCTGCTTCAACACACCTGAATGATTGAGTCACTGACAAGCTTCTGATAAACCTGATAACATTCTGAGTAGGTGATGTAATTATTTGAATCAGGTGTGCTGAAGCAGGTAAACACATGCAGGACAGTGGGTCATGAGGAACCAGTTTGAAGACCTCTGCTTTATATAAAGCATCAAGGGGTCCAGCGTACTTGATCCAAAGCCAAACAGTTGWTTCCTGGTCACGTGGCTGCAGGACGTTTGTTTTTGCMCACAAACAGCTCACGAGACACAGTGCAGAGCTCCTGGGGAAACTTCATCAAGCAACTGCACCAATGAGAGTCAGTTTTGTGGCTTTGGATGGAGTATGCACTGAGGGTCCTGGAAGGTCAAAATAAAGGCACTATTAGCATGCTAAAATTTGCTAATTATCACCAAATATCTAACTTCTGATCTAAACGTAAAAATGACAAATGTGTTTTAGCATGGTAACGTTTGCTGCCCAGCACCAAACTTCTCATGATTTAAAGGCACAGTGTGTAGGATTTTGTCAATTCTTTTAGCTGAAATTGAGATAATCAGTAATGACAATAATAAAAAACATGTCTAATCATTGCAGACAAAGACCTTGTTTTATTATTTTACCTTATAAAAAGCTGTTTATATCTACATGGTCGCGGGTCGCCACTACAGGCAGCCGCCATCTTGCACCGCCATCTTGTCTACGAAGGCTCATGAAGGACAAACTGCGGTGGCGCCATCAAAAACGGTTTTAGTTGTAATACTATAAATGTAATATTTGTTGTCTGTCATTGTAGCTGG